TTGATGAACATAAGTGTGTCGTTGGGGCCAAACAGGTGACCTATGTTAATCATCTCACCGTTGCGTGAATTATTTATTTTTGATTGGCCAAGAGACTTTAGGCAACAACAAAAAACGAATCTGACGACGTTCGTGCTTGACAAAATTATTGTAAAGTAATAACAATTCACCCGTGCATACTAATGGGGGTTACCATTTTTTGACGGCCTGCTATGACAAACATGGTTTTACACACGACATTTTAAATAAATTAGAGGTGAGGATACATTGTTTGAAATCGTTGGTCCTTTTTTTGTTTATCTTATCCGCTCCTGTTTGTTTCACAAATTAGTCGTTTGCATATCAATATGTCCGATGCAAGGTCACGCTATCACTTTGGAAACAGGTCATTTTGGGGTTTTCATCTGCCGATTTTACTAAACTAGAGCTCGTCTTTTTTTCAAATTTGTTTGCAATTTCTTCTTATTTTTCGATTACCCTAAAAGTGTTACAAGTGTTTTTCAAATTATTAGCGTCTTTTAACAAAAATAGTGTATGTTTAGTGTCATCGGATAAACCACAGTCCCTTCCTTGTTGACGGACTGTGACTAACCACAGCTCTAACATAAATACCTCCATGGCAAACTATTATTATTTTCCAACATGTGACCTTTAGTTTGGATTCAGTACGTCACTTTTTAAAACGCGGCACATGGATACAACTGCCGAGACGCATCCACTGAACTAATAGGAAGCGTGAATCTTTTTTAGTTACCGTGCGTGAATAAACAGCGTCCTAGCACAGTAATAACTGTGTAATTTATTTATTTTTTCAGACGACTCTAAAATATATATACATGTACTAGTACGTTACTGGGGCATTCTGTGTCCATTTAGATTGGAAGCTGAAAATAAGTATGCCAATTGTAGTAATACTACCATATAAATGCAAGAGCAACACGCGCGCCATTATTTTTCATCTCCCGTGCGAACAACATAAACAATTGCGACCTTCTGATGTTCAAAGCACAACTTACAATTAGTGCTAAGCAGGCGTCAAATAAAAAATCCCTTTTCGAGACACCATTTAATAATTCGACAGGGATTTTTAATTTGAAAACGTCTTGCATAATTTCTGTGACGTTAGGTGCCGACCAAGTGGTTTCATTGACCTCTGACTGAACTTTGAAGAAAACGTACATCGTGCCTACGTGATGCCACCACGTAATTTAAATGAACAATTTTACTTTACCTCTTTAAACGTCTCAAATGCCTTGAGTATAATTATAGTGAGTTACAGTTGGAATTTAGGTGAGTAAAAAGGTTTGTGACGATCATTATGTTGTGTAATGAGACCCGTTTTACAAGATCGGGATTGGGTGATTCGGAGTGATGTTTGTTATCTTACGGTGAACCATGGTCAGTTCACGCATCAAATTCAGACTCAGACTCGGGATGCTATTGAGTTTTAATTTAGCAACTACAACACTACTTATACGCAAGACAAGACAAGCAGAACAGGACAGGGTACACAACAATTCAATCCCCGGTTAACTTTTTCAGTAACCGTTTCCAACTCACAAATCAACAAACACGCACAAATTTCAATGTTTAATTTACCACTGGCCACGCTATTTGCAACACATTACGCAATTTATCCGTTATTTAATCTACATTCACAAACAACAATGTAAGAGAACTGAAACTATGTTTTCTGTTGTGGTGAAAAAAAAACATCGGTCGCGCCTGTGATCGCGCCGAGTATAATAAGGTGCGCCGTATCTGACTAATCGCGCCGAGCTCGACCTTGGGCTCGCTTCTTTGAGAGCGAGCCTTTCAACAGCCTCGCCACTGGTACGCCACTGGCACACCATTGGCGAGACATGGCCTCACCATGGCGAGAAAATTGGGACCTTGTGTGCTCATTGTACTCTGCTTGAGTGTGGGCACAAAGTTACTATTTGAATTTTTGATATCTTTTTTCATTAATGAGAAAGTTGACCTCAAAGTTAGAGTACCTGTTCAACAGGAATGGCTTTTTAAATCTTCTGTGACTTTTTTTTTGGCTTGGCTGATTTTGTTCGTACTTGACAGGGAGGTCTGACCATCACTAATTGGAAAAACAATCCTGACCCACCGCTATCATGGCAACAGCCAGAATCTGTTTTTTGAATAGTTTCGCCCCAAATTTATTACCTCCTACCAGTCTTGTAATAGCAGTGTTCAACGTAATCCCAACGCAACTTTGAATAAAATGTGAATGCTGCCTCTAATCTAGAAAATACTATCGCAAAAACGGTTGGAAATAATACATTTAACGGCAGAATACGTCCTAGCAATAAAATAAAGTGACTACCGGTAAATAAAGACTGAATGTTATTTTGCGAACTTCGTATAAGCTGCCCGGTTTTAGTTATATACGGACGTTAGCTTCACGTTCATGTCCTACCATAGTAACAGCCGAAAACATATTGCTTGTTTTTACCGGCTTGTTTTCATTGGCAACCGAAGTACTTTTATTTTGTAAACAAATTTTTGTCTGCTATTTTTATCCAGTTCAAATCGTTCAGCAACATTTTTGGCATATTAGGTGTACATCACATGGAATACTACGATTGAGAGAACTTGCAATTGATGTATGTTGACTGAGTTTTATCATAGACCATCAACATCAATGTACCAGCAGGTTTCTGATGGCGACGTTGCGGCTTTACCCAGTTCCAAATAAAGATTACCAACGCCAAATTAGCGACATTTTAACCGGTAATCAAGATTCATTCAATCCACGGCTAACAAGCAACATCACAAGCGAAGTTGTAGCGTGCAGCTCAGCTGTCGGCGCAAGTCATCCCGTCAGTGGAGTACCGCAGTAGCATGGCATGTTTGCCTTCACCATTGTATTCAAATGAATCACGTGGTGTGCTGTTACATTCTCCTTCGAACCCGGGATTCAATCAATACAGTGGTTTCAGTTAAAAAACACATCGCAAATCATGCAAATTCAACATATTCAAACCAGTATACTAAAACAGAAATGCTCAGCGATGCAAAAGGACACCGTTGAAGTTTACCGAACACTGGATATTCTGCACACTTCGCGCTTCATCGGAAAATGCGTATTCCTTCGTAAATCGGATCCGGACGATAAGAACTGATAACCTAAACAAACGTGGCATACATTACTTCAAAAGAAAACGCTGCGTTGCGAGTCTGTTGTATTACTAGTCTGAATTTACAGTAATTAATTTATTCTGAGCATGCGCAGACGTTCTGTCAATGTTGCCAGGAGAGTCAATTTTTGATGAAAATCGTGAAAAAGACAGACAGATTTTCAGATCTAGAAAAAAAATTGTGTGCCTACTAAACATATTATTGTTAATCAATCTGCCAAGTTTCACTGATATCTGCTGCAGAATTTCTGAGAAAATGTTGGAGACGGAAAATGGACAAAACCTGAATTATAAAGTCTGCGCCTGGACTAAAAATGACGTGCATCAGGAACCTGTAATGTCTAATGTATGTTATACATTTGAACAAAATCCATCCATAAATGCAAGAAATGCTTGATATTTGAGGATTTTTTTAGCACAAAAATAGCCACCATTTGGCCACTTTGAAAAGGATCGTCAAACCAATATATCATATATCTATGACATGATGTATAATGAATATTAAAAATTTGAACATAATCAGTTAAAACAAGTCAGACATATGGGTCTGGAAACCCATTCATTAAAACAAAATGGCCGCCAGACAGCCATTTTGAATCTGATCTGAAAAATAAAATGACGTGTGTGACCTTCTCACTTCCCAGTACCGGCTAAAAGAAACTATAAATTGGAGGAGAACAAATAATAATCCTGGGGCTGACAGGTCTACCGTCGCAGATGACTTCGGTACCATGCAAGGCATACAACCCAGTGAAGACAAGTGGCATGTATCAATCAGGTGACCGTCACATACAAAGCATTTGTTGGGATATGTCCCCAATGAAGGTATTTACTAAAGTCTAGGGTTGTACCAAAACAACCCCGCCAGAGGTAGTAAGCCAATCAATGCAAATCAACCTTTAAATATGCGTTCTGTCACCATGGCAACACAGTCGGACACAAATCAAATCAAAGTAACCTTCAACCCCACTCTAACAAATATACTGGAGGTATACTCCCCTTTGATATTTCCCTTAACTAGTAAGTATAAGTATATCTATGACATGACATAATCAGTCAAAGAAAGTCAGAGATATGGCACTAGAACTACATTCATTAAAACAAAATTGCCGCCAGTCGGCCATTTTGAATCTTATCAGAAAAACAAAATGATGTGCATCAAGGTCCTATAATGTGTATTGTATATACCAATTTAGAACAAAATCCATCTGTAAACAGCCCAAAAATGCTTGATTTTGATGATTTTTAGCACAGAAATGGCCGCCATTCGGCCATCTTGAATCAGATGCACGCACACACGCACAGAGTGTTCTCCCCAGGCTAATTATTATGCAAATTAGCCGCGACTCTATGGAAAATTTCTGGGGAGACACTGATAAGTTTCCAGTTTCGGACTGCATCCGAACAATGACTAATAAAGGAAAGAGTTCCTTTTGTACCCTCCATCCCAAACCCTACCCTCCAGCACTCCCTATTTAATTGTACATGCCCTTCCTAAGGACATCTATAGTTATCTAGAAGGGGCATATACAAACGAATTAGGTAACTGGGAGTGAGTGTTAGAGTTAGGGTTAGGGATGGGGGGGGTACAAAAGGAACTCTTGCCCACACCTCTGTGCAGCAAATAATTTCATTACAAAATTTCCAAAACACCACCATTCATATATCACAACAATGTCAATGGTTCACTCGGTATATTGCGTCGATTGCACCATTATTGCACATTAACACTTCGAAACACTGCATATGCATATGCCGAACAAGCATCACATCATTTGAACTAAACAATACTTTGGCAGATTATTTGTATGTCTAATCGACCTTTCCTAAACTAAAAAGCTGTGCCATTACCTGTAACGTTGATATATGTTTTTCGTTGAATTTATTCTCGACGTAGCGCAGAACTACGGAAGTCTTGCCAACTGCGCCTTCGCCGAGCAAAACCACTTTAAAGTTAAAGCTCTTGGCGCTTCCAGTTCCTCCGGCAGCCATGTGAATAATCCTCAGATATAAATGTTATGAAAAGTAAATTTTGACAAAAATACATCCAATTCAATTTCGATATTTTGAGTTCATACACCTACAAAATGGCGAAGTTATTCTTTACAATGACGTCACATCATGTGACGATGGAGTCTCGCAGAATCCCGAAGAGTTCAGGTCATGGATTTTCCTGACTAACTATAAAAAGGCGGTAGTTATAGTTAACATACTAAGTCGTTTAGATATATTGTACCAAATATATCGACAGTAACTTAAAATGTGCATTTTTTGTCATAAGAAGTGGCAAAACCACCGATGCGCAAACGTCATTTCGAGATTTGGATCGTAACCTTTGACCTCAAATAGAGGAAAGGATATCCGTGAGCCTTGGAGTATTGGTAATAAGTTTAAGTACATTGTAATTATACCAACACACAGTTTACCCTCAACACTAGAGAATATTGTTTGCAATAACGTTGTCGTTAATCGTCAAGGAACGTGCTATATACACAAGTTCTCATCGATTCTTCTCGAACATGGACGTCACCACCGTCACTGCGCTGTGAGTCATTTGTCGTAATCGTAACTAACTGTATAAGCTTTGCAAGTCTAAGCTTCCCAAAGAAACTATCATATTTACTTAAAGCTTAAAGCTTTAGCAACCGAAGATTTCATCTATATTTGGAAACCAGTGATTAGCAATGGCTTCTCATGAGGCGTATTTGCGTCAGAATTTGACACAGGTAATTTCAATACAGAATGCTATAGACACAACAAACCCTTCATTTTGATAAATATTTATAAATTTCACAATTCAAACTAAAATGAGGGATTTCTATTGACGAATGGAATATTTTCAAATGATGTCATTGTGCACTGTGCTTATTGATTGGGTGCTTTGATTCAACTGCCATTGAAATTTATAAATATTTCTTAAAATGAAGAAAACTATCTCAGGCATCACTACCCACCTTTATAATCCTGAGTACAGTCCTAGAGGTTGGTCTCTCGCTTATTATTCTGCCCGCAGTCCTGATAAGTCGCATAGAACAGGAATTCAACACTATGTGGAATGTTGTATCGGCAATTTAAGAGGCATTCAGCTTTGCAGCTAAAAAATAATCTGGTCAATACATCTAACTATCCCAAATACCTTAACTGGAAGCGAAATTACAGAAGAATTCCCACTAGGGTCTTTAAAATCGACATTTTCCAATGTCAACAGAAAATATACACCACCATCTTGTTTTTGACGTATTTGTGAACAAAATTTCATTTCGTTGCATAAAACTTTTGCTTTTCCCAACATTCCAGTTCTGTAGGTTAATTTTTCGGCCACAAGAAATGTGTCTATGATTGCTAGATTGGTCGATAGACGCTTTGGTTAATTACAATCATGAAAATTGCAGAAAGGTCTCTACAACTTCTCAGGATTGTGGGGGTTAAAAGGTCAGTAGTAGGAGGCCAACCTACAGGACTGTTCTCAGGGCTACCCACCATATTGACATGATTTCACACACTGATATAGAAAAATGCAAATGCAGACACATTACATCGAAATGTGCACTGAATACAGCTATCCCTTACAGCTATCAAATAATGAAGACTATGAGTGGTGGAATTGGTGTTCCCACTGTATCCATTCTTGCTATACTTGAAACCCTCATGTGAATGTTGTAGAGTTTGTTCATTCTGACATACAGTAAAAATTGCTACAATCAAAGATGAGGAAGTATGCTCTGGGTGGCGTACCATTGTCAAAGGACTCTTTATATGGGAGCGATTCAAATAAACAATTATTAAAACATTGACATGTAAACATGACATTTCCCGCATTCACATTAGATGCAATGGTTTCATTATTATTTTATTAACTCATAACAACCTACTGGAGGAGGTTAAAGGCTACAAAAGATAAAAATGAATCAAATTACAATGGCTAAAGAGTTTAAAGAACAACCAAAAGCAGACTAAATGGAATACGGAAAAAAATAAAATAAAATGAAATACCCACAACATACTATAAGCAGAATATAAAAAAACCAACCAACAAATTCAAAACGAATGAAACCACCTGTGTCCTTGAGAATTGAATTTTATCACCTTTGCATTTCTGAATGCAAAAAACATCAATGCCAAAAAAATTTGTTTTTGTCCAAACTACTATGAATTTTTGATAAGATCATAAATTAACACATGAAACAAACATTTAGAATGGAAATCACTCTAATAATGAAATATCTATGATAATAGCCAAAAATATATAGAGTAGAAATTATAATTTGATGCAGGTTTGACCAATTTATCTACTTGTGTTGTCCATTTTCCAGTCAGAAACATGACTTTATTAATAATTCTTTGGAACTACATTGTAAGTTTGAAGCTTCCTAACCAACTAAAGAAACATGAATAAAGCTATTTTAACCACACTGTTACAGTCATTGACAGTATTGTATGTCCATGATGTGAAAACCAAATATGGGATGCTGTTGTTATATACCTACGTCAGATTTATACTTCAAAAAATATTTTAGCATGTTTACATGCCACTTTCCAAAGTCCTCAAATTATATGATTCAAAAGTATTCTTTCTGTTAAGCATGTCTTTGATTGTAACAATTGCATCACTGTACATACGTAAATATGAAGCATACAGTCTCGGCTTAGAACTAGACAACTCTGGCACCTACAACTGGGTTTCCAGGATATAACTTATACTTAAAGATCTAGATATGGACCTTTTGTGGCAGGAAGAAAAAAAGCAAAATACGAACAATGTAAATATAGATAAAATAATATCAGAAAAACTAAAAACAAAGTTTGAAAAAAATTGTAAACAGATTTTAGACAATGATAACAAAGGGAACAATCACAAAAATAAATTGCGCACTTACACAGAACTGAAAACAGACTTTGGCTTTGAAAACTACTTACACGTAGTCAAAAATACCGTAAAATCTATATTAGATGCCGCATCCCTGATAGAAGTCGCAGCCATTCTTTTTGAATAATTGAGACCAAAAAATCATCATTTCTCATATGTGTAGATGCTCTAATAGAAGCCGCATTCCCTTGGTTGCATTGTACCATTTTAATAGAAGCTGAGGCTTCTAATACAGATTTTATAGTACCGTAAAATCTGTATTAGAAGCCTCATCCCTAATAGAAGTCGCACCCATTCTTTTTGAATAATTTAGAATAAAAAATTCATAATTTCTCATATGTGTACATGCTCTAATAGAAGCTGCATCCCCTCTGTTGCATTGTACCATTTTAATAGAAGCCGCGGCTTCTAATACAGATTTTACAGTACTCATCACAGGTCATCAATGACAAAATTGAGGATTAGTGCTCACAGACTACAAATAGATACTGGGAGATATAACAACACAGATATATCTGACAAAAAATGTCTATGTTGTGAAAATAACGCCATAGAGGACGAAGAACATTTTCTTTTATTAACATGTGATCGCTACGTGGGAGAAAGAAAAAAACTATCAGCTGTTATCACCCCCACATTTAGCAAATAATAAAGAAAAGTTAAAATATATTTTAAATAATAAAGAGGAGAAAACAATAATACAAATAGCAAAATACATAGAGAACGGTTTCAAAACAAGAGAGGAAAAATTGAAAACATTATAGTCAGCTATCTCAAGATAAGGTCGTGTACATGCAATAGTAATCTAAACATTCACCAACACAAAATATATGTGGAAAACAATGTACTTTACCATTATTTTTTTCATTAATTTTTTTTTTTTTTTTTTTCTACTTTTATTTGCTAGTTGTTTTTTAGTCCCCGTTCGGACACAGTCCGAAAACGGGGACTTACAATGTATGTTTTGCCCTGTAT